GAGAGAGAGAGAGAGAGAGAGAGAGAGAGAGAGAGAGAGAGAAGGGTTTCTTGGTAGGCTCGAAGCATGGCAAGCGCGGACCTCCATAGCCATCATTGATGCTCGAGATAGCTAGTACACGGGGAGAGACTTCATCAGTGTCTTCAGGGGAATAATTGCATACTGAGGTGGTCAGTTGGTGGGAGAAGGTGCCGGGGCTGACGAGGGGTTGAAGAGCTGTTCCAATTGTATGATTGATTATAAGTGAACTATCCTCCCTCTCTCTCTCCATTGCTTCACTACCTTTGTTTCCCTTCCAGTGACTCGCTGCTTATTCTGTGACAAACTTGAGAGTGCTTCTGGACTGATTCTGCATTGCGTTTGGTTCCATTTTGAGTACTCTGTTTTTTCTCAAGTTCCGAGTGTCTTGCGACTACCTGTATGATAGATTTGCGGAAGCTTCTCATGATTGTACTGCTCGTTGCATAACAGTAATACATGTGTATGTAGAAAAGACTATATACCGTCAAACAAGGTTCGACCGTGCTCTCTCTATATTCTTGCCTTTTCTCTCCCGCTGTGCTGAGTCTGCGGACGGCAGTACGAGGCGATAATGACGGTCATACTGTGATTGTCCTACCGGTAGTCTCTCTGTTTTTGATTCTGCGAACCTGGTACGTGCAACTCAGCAGAAAATTGCATACTTCGGTAGATCGTACTCAGCGTGAGCTTCTCTTTCTTGCGTTTCCCCTGCTGCCATGCTGTAGACAGGTGACAGCAAAGGTCATGATGCGGATGCCGATATTCTCGGGACCGACATCATGTCTTGGTTTCGGGGAGTATCTTGCTCATTTTTAAAATCGTTTTGAGTGGTTTGATGGAAATTCCGATGGAAGATGATTCCTCCAGAACGAGCTGTTCTTTGTCACCTTTGTCAACCTGCCTCCCACCGCCGCCGTCGTTCTCGCGCTTCAACGAGTACAAAGTACACCTTAGTTTGTCACCTACATCTTTTCCCTTCTGCCTGGCATACACCTGTGCAGACTGCATCCGCATGGTCCTATCAGCCAGGGCCCAGGTACTGACAAGTGCACCTGGCGGGTCCGTCAAGAAGATGCAGAAGCACCGGTTGAAGGCAGGGCAGCGGGTGTACCTTCGTACGTCCAAGTCGTGAACCATCGTAGATGTTATATACCATCCGGACCCTCAACCCTGTTCCCACCATATTCTGCCCTCTCCATCAGGGGATTGGAGCCATCAACCACGGCTGGTCAGCCACCTGGTGCGGTTTGCAAATCCCACCGCCAGTCCCTTTTTTTTTTCTTTTTTTTTGGACCATTTCTCGATTTGTTCGTGTCATCCTTGCGCAGGGGTCATGCTAATCTTCTCTTTGATGTCCCGAAGGACCCAGACGGATTTTCACCGCAGGAAGTGTGTATCTTCTTTCTTTTTTCAAACAAAAGAAGGGAAAAAGGAACGAGGAAACACCTCGGCTGTGTTTTTTTTTTTTTTTTTGCCTTTTATGATATTCACTGTATTATTCGGAATCGGGTCATCATCCGAGGTGTTGCAATGTCTCTTACCTCCTTATTTTTTGTTCTGATTTATTGACATCCTGCAGGCGAGTCCGGTTTAATGGCACCCTCCCCAACCCTCTCCCCTGGTCCCCCCCCACTGTGCCTCCCTGAATCCCACCTCTCTGCCCCACCCGCCCTCTGGTCCTCCCCGCCCTGGTTACCGAAAACAAAGCCAACGCCTGACTCCTGGCCGCGAGTCCGTCTTGCTTGACTTCCCATCCACATGACCCCTGCATGCAGGCCCCCCCTGTCATGCACTGTCGTCAGGCTAGCAGTGCAATTGATCCCATTACCCC